AAACTACATTGAACGTTCCACACCTCATTTTCTATGAAAATTATTGTTGCTATTGTCGTTTCTTATCTGCCTCTCCTCAGTGGGTTGTGACACTGCTAAAACACATAATATGGTTGTCATTATTTTCTGTGGGTGAGCAGATGGCAACTGGTATATAGCATATATTCTGTAAAATGATGCCATTGTTGGAATCAGCAGGTATGAAATATAACCTGAAACAGGTCTAACATGTGTGTTGGTCACCTGTACCATTATTGCAGTGGACATTTAGCCTGGTATTATGAGAGTGCTGAAACTGGTTGCACTTCTGTATAATGATCAGTACATTTGCGGGTTTGGCAGTATAGTGTATAGAGCAAGAATGACAAATTGACAATGCTGAATGTGTTTTTGGACTACAAATCCCAGTGTATCTCACCATTGCCCAAGGTGGCATTAGCTATAGAGAGCTGCAGTCCAACAACACCCAAAGGGACACATATTTTCTAGGCCTGTGCGGTTTCGTTCGTTAATTTCGTAATTCGTTTTTAATTCGTTAATTTTAGCATTTACGAAACGATATCAAAACACTTTTTCAAACCCGGAAGGGTTTAAAAATATCGAACCGGCAGCCCCCATAGATTTTTAACGAGCTTCCGCCCGTTTCGTAAATGGGATGGAGGCTGCTGGTGCCCTGGGAGCCAATCCGCGCTCCCAAGCACCCAAGCAGTGCACCGTGGCTGTTTTTGATTGGCCGGCGAGCCCTTTAAAAGCGGCTCCGCGTGGCCGTACAGCTCATTTGTTGCGGAGGCGAGGGAGAAGAGAGGTCTGGGAGGGCTGCTTCAGGCTAGGCTAAGACTAGCATTGGGTTGGCTTGCGGAGGCGAGGGAGAAGAGAGGTCTGGGAGGGCTGCTTCAGGCTAGGCTAAGGCTAGCATTGGGTTGGCTTGCGGAGGCGAGGGAGAAGAGAGGTCTGGGAGGGCTGCTTGCTTTGGGAAGGTGGCTTCAGGCTAGCATTGGGTTGGCTTGCAACTAAGCTTGGATTGGATTCATTCCTTGCTGCTTAATTCCTTGCTTGGATTCATTCCTTGTTGCTTAATTCCTTGCTTGGATTCATTCCTTCATTCCTTCCTTCGGTTTTTGTCAATTTGTTTGTTAATTTTCCATTTTTAAATATTTTTTAAAAATACCTGTCTTTTATTCTTAAAAAAACAAAAAATATTCTTAAAAAAGAAAAGACTCTTCTGTTGCTGTGTGCTCTCGTTTGCCCTGTCTCGTGGCTGTGTTTGCTTCATATCAGGGCCAGTTTTTGGTTAATTTTCCATTTTTAAATATTTTTTAAAAATACCTGTCTTTTATTCTTAAAAAAACAACAAAAAATATTCTAAAAAAGAAAAGACTCTTCTGTTGGTGTGTGCTCTCATTTGCCCTTTCTCGTGGCTGTGTTTGGTCCACATCAGGGCCATTTTTTGGTTAATTTTCCATTTTTGAATATTTTCTAAAAATACCTGTCTTTTATTCTTTAAAAAATACAAAAAATATTCTAAAAAAGAAAAGACTCTTCTGTTGGTGTGTGCTCTCATTTGCCCTGTCTCGTGGCTGTGTTTGGTCCACATCAGGCCATTTTTGGGTTAATTTTCCATTTTTGAATATTTTCTAAAAATACCTGTCTTTTATTCTTAAAAAAACAACAAAAAATATTCTAAAAAAGAAAAGACTCTTCTGTTGGTGTGTGCTCTCGTTTGCCCTTTCTCGTGGCTGTGTTTGGTCCACATCAGGGCCATTTTTGGGTTAATTTTCCATTTTTGAATATTTTCTAAAAATACCTGCCTTTTATTCTTAAAAAATACAAAAAATATTCTAAAAAAGAAAAGACTCTTCTGTTGGTGTGCTCTCATTTGCCCTGTCTCGTGGCTGTGTTTGGTCCACATCAGGGCCAGTTTTTGGTTAATTTTCCATTTTGAATATTTTCTAAAAATACCTGTCTTTTATTCTTAAAAAAATACAAAAAATATTCTAAAAAAGAAAAGACTCTTCTGTTGGTGTGTGCTCTTGTTTGCCCTGTCTCGTGGCTGTGTTTGGTCCACATCAGGGCCAGTTTTTGGTTAATTTTCCATTTTTGAATATTTTTTAAAAATACCTGTCTTTTATTCTTAAAAAAATACAAAAAATATTCTAAAAAAGAAAAGACTCTTCTGTTGGTGTGTGCTCTCGTTTGCCCTGTCTCGTGGCTGTGTTTGGTCCACATCAGGGCCAGTTTTTGGTTAATTTTCCATTTGTGAATATTTTCTAAAAATACCTGCCTTTTATTCTTAAAAAATACAAAAAATATTCTAAAAAGAAAAGACTCTTCTGTTGGTGTGTGCTCTCATTTGCCCTGTCTCGTGGCTGTGTTTGGTCCACATCAGGGCCAGTTTTTGTTTAATTTTCCATTTCTGAATATTTTCTAAAAATACCTGCCTTTTATTCAAAAAAAACAAAATATTCGCTTTAACGAATCGATTCGTTATTATTTCAATATCGAATCGAATCGTATTTAATAACGACGTTTCGGAAGCCGCTTTTGCGCATGCGCGATCGCGTCCGCCATTTTAACGAATCGATTCGTTATATCCTTAACGAATCGGCCCCCCGCCATTAACAAAGCTTCGGAAGTGTTTTTGCGCATGCGCGGGGGTCCGCCATCTTTACAAAATGTTTTGTAAATATTTACGAAATTTCGTAAATACCAAAACTTTTTTTTGGGAAAGTTTTGTAATTATTTTAAATATCGAAACAAAAAAACACCCCAATTACAAATCGATTTTAGAAACAAATTTTTTCTTGATCAACCAGGCCTAATATTTTCCACTCCTGTTGTATCACATAAGGATCAGTAGTGCTGGGCGAATCAATATATACTATTCCTCCAACAGTTCCATTTCAAACTGAGAAAAACCGATTCATTAGAACTACTGTAGTTGAACATATTTCAATAAAGTATTTGATATCTATTTACACAAGCAATATATCGCATTTTATCTTGACTACTTGTGACTGATAGAGAAGCAAAAGATTTTGTGAAACAGAAAAAAAAGTTTACCAGCGCATTCATCATGTTTGGCCTATTTGTCAATGCTTGTCTCTTTAGGAGAATAACTAGAATTTCATGTCTTGTTTTTAGCCATCTAACATGATTGATGACTGTACGGCAACCTACAGAACAGTGAAAAAAAATTCCACTCCACATCTCTGATCAACATGGTCATTCTCATTTTATTACAAGATTATTTTAATAGACTCATATGTTTTTAAAAAGCATTTTAAAGAGAACTACAACAAATGCTCATTATAGATTAATTCTTCCTGCTCTCACTGAAAAAGAATCTGCAGAGTTCAAGGAACAGAATTGTTGTATTTTATATTGTTTGGCAAAATACAGGTTGTAGTTCTTCCTTGGAGTTACATTCTGGGAGAATGTAAGGTAAAGTCTAAAGTTTTCTCCTTGACATTAAGTTTAGTCATGTCCAACTCTAGGGAGTGGTGCGCATCTCCATTTCTAAACTGAAGTGCTGGTGTTGTCCATAGACACCTCCAAGGTCATGTGGCCAGCATGACTGCTGTTACCTTCCTGTCGGAGCGGTACCCATTGATTTACTCACATTTGCATGTTTTCAAACTGCTAGGTTGGCAGAAGTTGGTCCTAACAGTGTGAGGTCGCCCAGCTCCCCAGATTTGAACCACCGACCTTGCGATCAGCAAGTTCAGCAGCTCAATGGTTTAACCCGCTGCGCCACCAGGGGGAATGTAAAGATTATTAACATTTTATATTCCCCCCCACAGTGTAACTCCAAGAAAGATCTGCAATCTCTTTTTTTAAAACCAAAGAATGGTAGGTTTTTCCAAAGATCAAAAAATGGTATGTACAGAAGGAAAGGTGGAGTTCATGGTGATCTCATTGGTACCACTCAATATCTTCCCATGACTGAAATGCATTCATCCATGATATACCTGTCAATAAATAGGTTGCCTTCTGGTGACAAAGCTTTGTGCTGTGTGTTGAGGCTTACTTTTGCATACATGTTAATTACTGCAAAACATTGTGGTTGGTATGACAGTGGCGTTACATCCTCCCAAGCTGTGTGCCTAATGTAATTTTACTTCCAGGGACAGGTTAGATCTCTATTGAGTCTTGGATGTGGATGTATACACTAAATGTTTGGTTAAAACCGATGTTCATGCCTAAAGGTTTGGCCCCATTGACCCTTGGTGATCCATTTCAATCAAGGTGGAAAATGTTAGTTGATGAGAAAATCCTAAACCTTGGATTCTCACTAAATACCATCCTAACTATGGGCTACACAAAAGCCAAAGAAAACATATGACAGCATATCTGGGACACTGAGCTGCAAAACTATCTAAATGCAGCCTCTATTCTTCCAGTCTTCAAAGACAATGGAAGAACACTTCTTCCCATAGAGTACTTAGGCAACCTAAATATCCCAAAACATAGGAAGGGATTCTCTTTGGCTAAATTCAATGTACTCCCTTCTGCTGTACTGGAGGGAAGATATAACAAAGTACCATCCAATGAATGCCTATGTCCCTGTGAGGCTGAGACAGTAGAATCTGTGGAGCATGTTTTGTTTTTATTGAGACCTTTGTAAACATTTTATAAATCCAATTTTAGAAAGTTTACCAGGGAGATCTGTAAAGTTTTATGTTAATTATCTTTTGGCTGACCAACACCCCAAAAATACTGCTAAAGTTGCTAGCTTTTGTGCAACAGCAATAGCTTGTCAGCGCAAGATGATGTCAGTTTTTACCATTGTCATTTTAGCATATAAATGTTTAATACAGTTTTAACTATTATTCAGTACTGGGTTCTAACTTTGCTTTTGATAGTGTTTCTTAATACCTAAATGTATATGTTCCTATCCTGACTTTTGTACATTTTTTGTGCTGGTCATTGACCATTTTATATATATACACAAACACCCCACACAATTCATAAAATCATCCTATCCATTCTATTTCTTTCAGCACTGGACAGTGTTTAAGACAATCACAGAAATATTTATCCTGATTCCAGCCCTGGTTGGCTTAAAGGGCAACCTGGAAATGACTCTGGCCTCGAGACTTTCTACGGCTGTAAGTATCATTATTGAGATTGTGTCTTCAGCATGCAGAGCTGTGATCGTGATAGATACTTGGCAAGGAAAGATGTGCCATTTGATCAAGAATCCCCTCAATGGTCTATTTGTAAAAGTGGACTGTATTTGTAAAAGTGAACCGCAAGGACTATGGTTTTGGCAGCCATCAACAGTAGAATAGACATTATCATGTTTGTGTAGGATGGGCATGGATTGCTTTCCCATTCTTTCGAGCATAAACAGTACTTCTCCCATTATTCATTTATTATTTAAAGTGTTTCTGTATCATCTCCCAGTCCACAGGTGCTTCCCAGGCAACTGACAATACCAAGATAAAAATATTAATTCACATTATAATATTTTCATTGTATGCCATGTTGAACAACACTGTTTTGGTTGCCCACCAGAGGCTTAAAAGAGATGGGATTAACTTAACTTTCTTGGATAGGGAGTTTCACTGTCTCTAATTGTTCTTTCTTGTTCTAGTGATCTGTTTATTATATATACTTATTTGAAAAGAATTAAAATGTTAGGATCCTATAGTATTTTTTCAATGCATGGTGGAGAAATGGCAGGAAATACCAAAATCTGTATAGGGAGGAGAGTCAGTGTTAGATTTTTCAAGTGATACTTGGTGAGACACCAAATATTCTGTTTGTTAGTCTGGACATGAGTTTAGACTGATCAAACTCTGGCCTGTATGTTCATCTTTTCTTTGTCATTTGTGCTACTACTCCTTTTTATGAACAGTAAAAAGCCCCACAAAAACTTTTTATAGCCTGAGCAGAACAGTTTTGTTTGTTTCCCTTCTTATCTACTGATGAGTAGATTGATATTTTAAATCCTTCTGTCTTGAGCAAGATATTTCCAGTGACTGCAGTCTGTGACATTGTCCTTGACAATCTGGCTCCATGTATCAATTTCTATCCTGCTCCTTATAGAAAGAAAAGAAAAAGTATGCCCTGTAGAGGTCAGTGTGGGATGCTTTAATTAGTAAAAGGAGGCCGGAAGTTCCAGGGTGGGAACAGTGAGCAGCATCTTCAATATTCCAGGTTCAATCATCAGGTTGGCACTTTCCCCTACCATATCTGTTTGTGAATTATAAATGTTTCCTCTTTTGTCTTTGAGGCTAATACCGGAAGAATGGATGATACACAGGAACAGTGGAAAATGGCTACCTGTAATTTGGCCTTGATTCAGGTAAGCACATCTGAACTTTTGCTCAAGACACCTGGATGATATTGGTGACATTCTGCCTTCTGGGATTAGTCCCTTGGTTGGTTGGGCTGATGTCCCCTTCAAGACTAAGAACACCTCCTAATTATACTGTTTTAGAACTATACATTATACTCAGGGGAATAAAATGCACAAGCCACAGTCAGGAGTCCAAATAACGAAGCCCTGGGCTAAGCTTCTGTGCTAGCTTCATTTCTGCAACTGACAATGTGCTCCTAAATGTACACTATGTACATTTAATCAGAAGTAAATCCCATGGAATATAATGTATCTTATTCAACTTAGGTGCTCTAGACTACGGCTTCTTAAACTGTGGGTCCTGAACCCAACTGGGGTCTCATTTTTTAAATGAATGTCACCTAATTTTAGACATTTACAAGAATCTGTTAACAACAATTTGCAGGGTTAAAAGTGGATTCTGCAGAAAATGCTTCAATTGTGCTTCATAAAAATGAAAAACAGCCTGTTTAGTGAGCCTTGCTTGTTATCAGTAAATGTGTGGTTTTTATGCCTATTTTATTTGCAATATACCCAGGACCATGTCAAAAATTTCTTGGGCCAAAAGGGGACCCAAGTGGGAAAGCTTAAGCAACTCTGGTGTAGGTGATATTTCATAGAAAGAGCTTTCAAATGCACGCCGGGTATTCCTTGTCTGAGAAAACGCCACCAAATTCATGGGATCACCAAAAGTCAACAGGCAACTTGAAGGCGCATACATACTGCACCCATGTTTCATGTACCAAAAAAAGCCATATGCAATTACTTTCTTGTATGTTACTTTGGAACTTCTAGACTTATTTAGATTCTTCTCAAATGGCATAGCATTTTTGAAATACTATTAGCTTTATAGGAATATAACCGAATTCTTTGATAGTTGTGTCCCTCTAGAAATTCCTTGTTCTGTATAATGTCATTGGTCAGCATTGAGTCTGCAAACTGAGCTAGATTCCTTGGTTTCCATTCTCCCATTGGTTTCCATTCTCCAAAAGTGAACACCCCATTAAGTGAACATTACTATTTGTTGGTGTTGGTTGAATTTATTCCCTGGCCCTCCATGTAAGGGTTCAATGTAGCTAATAATTTACATAAAATCACAGTTCTAACCACACATTTTAACAGTCATAGAAATCCTTTATTATAACCATCTCAATTTATCAATATATAAAAATCACAAATTGAAGTGTCTTCTAAAATGCAATGAAAATAATATAAAAACACAAAAGAAGACATATATTAAATACTTGATTATACCCTAAGAACTCATTCTTAAGAAAACATGGCCATGTTCTAGAAGCATTCTCTCCTGACATTTCACCTGCATCTATGGCAGGCATCCCCAGAGGTTGTGAGACGTCAGAAAAGAATGCTTCTAGAACATGGCCATATAGCCCGGAAAACCTACAACAACCCATGGTTATTTTTTTAAAGGGACAATTTGTTTTTTATAATTTTTTCAAGGGAAACCTTCTTTTGTAACTAAATATCATTTTAAAATCAGTTGAGCATAATTGTTCAATTGAAAAAGGATATTGAATGCTCTCAGATACCTGTAAAAATACAACATAACTGTATATTATGGGAGCAATGTCATTATATGGATATGTTTATCACAATTGAAAAGTGACTGCTTAACTCAAACACATTTGTTTTTTACCCCCAGTTTCTTATTAGGGATTGGTTTAAGCACAGGTTTGCTAGTAAAACTGACTTACTGTGCCATGAAATGGCGCAAGTCTAAAAAGTGTTTCACCAAGATGAAATGTTTGGAAAACTCTGGTGTATGGTGTAGAGGTCCTCAATTCTGACTCAAACTAAATTGCTGGGATTCAATAGTAAGGTTTTCAGTGTAGAGAAACACCCATAGTACAACCTATTTAACTTAGTGTCACTTCTGATAGAAAATGTCAGTCTTTATTCACCAGAGGGCAGTAGTGCACTTTCTGAAATAGATGCTAGCCATACAGACATGTAGTAGTCTTCAGACTATGGTTCCCTAAATCTTTCTGTTCTTTGCTATTTTGGCTCTCTACAGGTTCAGGCCACAGTGGTGGGACTCCTGGCAGCTATAGCGGCAGTCTTTCTGGGTGCTTTGTCCAAGGGGTATGTGGAGCTGAACCAAGCCGCTGTGTTGTGTGCTAGCAGTTTGACAACTGCCTTCATAGCTGCCCTCTCACTTGGTGAGTCTGTTTAAACTCCCTTTATTCCTCAGCCTCAGGGTTTGATTGCCAGTGCTGATAAAAGTGTGTTTCTGTTCCTTTCTGCAGAGGTTTAATCTCTTCTTTGGTAACAGTTCCACAGGAATGTCAAAATTCGTCTGGAGTTGTTTTGCGTGCCATCTCTGGAGGGAAGAGCCTGGCACCTGAATTGTATCACCATCTTTCAGATAATGCAGCATCCATATATCTCAGCATGCCATGCTATCCCTACGTAGGAAAGCATATAAACCTAGAAAAATCCCTGACACTAAGTCAGAATATTGGTCTGTTTAGCTTAATCTTCTCTACATTGATTGGTAGTGGTTCTCCAGAGTGTCAAACAAAGGTCTTTTATGGCACCACTGGGAAATACCAGAGATTGACTGCAAAACAGAATACCAATCAGTCTTATTTGAATCCTTGGGATCTAGATTCAGGTTCCTCACATCAATACAATCCTTCCTTGCTAGTAGCATTTTCAAAACATAATCTAATTTGTATATATAAAAAGCTGGGGATAGGCATTGGGGAAGACAATATGGCACAATATAAGGTGCCAAGTCTGAAATATCTGGGGGGAATAATGTGATTCATTTCACTAATCAGGGGTAGGGAACTTGTGGCTTTCTTGACATTCTCTGGAACTTTTTCATTTAATTTTGACATATTTTGCAAGAATTAAAGAGAACTAAAATGTTTCTTTAAGTTAAATTCATTGACAAACAACTTTGCTATTTGAAGGATAATTCATAGGAAGACACGTCCCAAGCAAAGAGTTGATGTTAATGAGTGTTAACATTGGTTCCTGCTTTTACCCAAATCCTCTCTGTGGCATATAGGCCTTCTTGTGAGAGATTCCATTGGTTATTAAGCAGGCATGGTTACCTGCTTCTGTGTCTTTATTTGATCGAGTGGGAATTCTATGTTGTATCCAGTATCTTTTTGCAGTTCCCTAAAGTCAACTTTCTCTTTACCTCTCCTTACGATTCTCTTAAGCATTGGAGTTCAACGTGTTTAAGAGGAGAGAATAAGCAAGCAGCATTGTAATCTTGCCACTCATATACATAAATATATATCCACATTCTTCTTAGTATAACAACATTGCATAGATATCTCAACTTAGGCACATTATTTTTATTTCATATCGTTCTGTGATTGAGTTTACATTTTTCTTAATAGACTTTTCAAACATTCATCTTCTAAGGAAATTTCTACATGTCAGTAAGGTGTCTATGGAAGAACTTCGGCATCTCTTAAGATGCAACTAAAGGAATTCAAATTTCATCTCAAACTGTCATTTATCTATCAAATAGGAAATAAATTTGACATTGTTTAATTTACTACCCAGAGTTAGTGCACTTGCATTCTCAATCTGTTGGAAGCATTGCTATGTATAGTTTGCAACCTAAGAATAGCATAGTAGGCAGCTGGTGAAAACAGCTGTATGTGAAGCCTTTGGAAACCGTTATGGATAGTGTGGTTTTGGCAAGCTTTAGGCCAGCTTTGACAGAGATTGCAACTGTTTTTTTGACATTTCTCGGGCAATATTTTTACTGGGGTTTTCTTATCAGGTATTCGATCATTGAACAGGAACAACACAAAACTCAACTGCATTTCATTATGGCTTTCTGCCCTCAAATGTGACTAAGTGCTCTTGAACTGATGATGTATACCTGCTTAGAGTCTTAAGAGACATGTAACTGGGCTTATGTCAAGAACACTACTTAGATGACTGCTTTTGTCCCCTCTTTTTATTATAGTTCTCAACTAAACAGCTGCTATTTTCTCTTGTCATGACTTAGCTTGGCAAAATGCTCAGATTCAGATTTTGAGCATCTACTTCTAGTTCTTCTCTGTCTAAAGTACAGATATATAATATCTTTATAAGAAGTACAGGTGGGAAAAAGGGAATGTGGTAGCACCTTTAAGAAAACTGGTTTTTATTTTAGATTGAGCTTTCATGAATATAAACTCATATTTTCAGATGGAGTACAGAGTGATGTTAAGTCTTTCCCAGGTTGATGATTTTACAACAATGGAAAGACAAATACACCCTTGTTTATCACACTGTTCCAACTGTGGAGTAGCTCTATGAAAAAAAAGGACAGGGCTCCTGTGCATTTAGTAGTAATGCCAAAGAGAAAATTTCAATCATTCTCTCTTATTCACAGTGCAAGAGCACTCTTAAGTGTAGTCTGCCTATCTTACTGCCTCAAGTACCATATCTTCAGCTGTTTCAGGAACAGTATTTGAAGTTATTCCAACGTTTTAGGTAAATGTTAGGAACCTTTTCCAATCCCCCAGTCTCATCCTCTGATCTACCTTTTCCCCCCCCCCCCCCAGGTTTGGTGATGATTGGTGTGATCCTTGGGGCAAGAAAAGTGGGGATCAACCCTGACAATGTTGCCACTCCCATAGCTGCGAGCCTTGGAGACCTGATTACCCTTTCCTTGCTGGCTGGAATCAGCAGCACCCTCTTCAAGTACATTGGTAGGTTAATGAGAAACCTCTGATAAGAGGGGATAGCATCATTTGCTGCAAACTATGGTATGTGGTATTCTCAGTGTTTCTTTATATTGTGTTCCTTGTCTTCTGAGCTGACAAGCATCTCACATTCCCATAAAAAAGGAAAACATAGGAAGGCTTTCCCAGTTCCTCCCACTTGTGCTTCAGAATGCTAAAGAGCCAATGTTGTGTTATTGTAGATAGCATTTTGGAACAGAACCAGAGAAAGGGAGAATGCAGATAGATAGATAGATAGATAGATAGATAGATAGATAGATAGATAGATAGATAGATAGATAGGACTTGAATTCCACTGGATGACTTTCAGTCAATCAAAGTAGCATAGGAAGGAACACAGGAGGTTACCTTGTAATGTACAAGCTCACCATTGTCAGTGGTGATTTCAAGGATGATTCTTTCATCTGGTACCTATTGCAAATAATTTATGATACCATTGAGCTATTGGAAATTCCATAATCTATTGGAAATAAGCGCACCATAACCTTATTAAAAAGGTAAAAACGATGTCACATCCATTTGGCAAATGAGAATCTCCATGAACATAGAGACCACCTTTTGAAAACCACTAGTCAAGAAAAGAATGACCTTGTTAGAAGTCAACTCTTTAAACAAGTGATATTCATAAGCATTCATGTAATGGCACACAGGTAACTCAGCTGTCAAACTTAAGAACCATGTCTTTAAACTGCCAAGGATAAAGACATGCCACTACAAAAATATATTGGGTTAGCAGATGATGGTTGTTTCTTTGAAGTATAATTTGCAGTTGTGATTGCCTAAAAAGATATACACTCCCTTAAAACCTCTTAGTTAAAGTATGCACTTAGAGATTAAAAGAAACAAAGTAGTCTTCTTTAAAAATAACATGTCAGGTTTACTAATAAACTTCTTGTATATATTCACCATATTAGTCTATTGTCCAATGTCTTTAAGCATATAGATATAGTTCAAACTGTTTAACCATACTCTCTGAAGTCTGAAAGGAGACAAACTGCAATCCACCTCCATTGAGATCTAATGCAAACTGAATACAACATTGATTCCTTTGTCTGAAGTCCCTCGCACACCAAAGAGGCACAGTCAAACTGACAAACAAAAATGTACATACAATATAGGTTAACAATTATACACATTTACAAACAGTTAGTGGAGGCTTGGAGGGTTGCTATTTCCAACATGAGCTATGGTTCTTTCCCAGTCCTTTCCTCTATGCCTCCCTGTCTCAAAAAAAGATATAACATACTGGAAAATAATGTTTTTATGTAATACCTTTTTTCAATTATGTAAAAATGTAATACTAGATCAATATTGTATAGGAGGATTTCTGAAGATGTAGCCGAGTATTAGCTGCTCATATCCCAAAGGCTGCCCATGTCCTGTTAGATTCCCATACTTGATACAAAATTGAGACAGTAGCACTATCAATGTTGTTACAGGTCAAACATTTTTCCCTCTCATACCTCCAGTTACAGAACCAGGGAGATGATAAAAAGTCCTTTCACCCTTCCTTGTGATGCTGCTATACAAGACAACAGGCTTTCTTCCCTATAGCACTGGATGTGGAATTGCATGTTGTTAAAATCTTGCCCAGCTTTTCCCAAAGGGGACTGCGCTTCTTTTCTGGGTGACATTGTTTCTGATTAAGACAACATTTGTGATTAAAAGCCTTGATAATTCCATATTTCTAGCCTCAGGCTTTGACTGCACTTTAAAAAAAATAAAGAACAGATTCCAAGAATGCTTCATCTGCCCCATTACCTGCAAAATGTGTTGCAACTGGCCCCATCTTTGGACCAGTTACAAAGAACAGATGGAGAGTCCTCTTAAGAAAGAGCATTAGCATATCAAAAGCCCTGGCAGATTCCCCATTGCTTGAAGGTGCTTCTGAAGCTTCCTTCCTTCTGCTTCTGGGTGCTTCTTGTTTTCTCATAGCACAGCATTCCCTCTCTTTCTTCTTTGTAAAGCTCCTTCTGCTTCTAAAGGTTATTGGAAGGTTACATTTCTTCAGAAAACAGGACAGGACGAGTTGATTCAAACTTGAGGATTATCGGCAAGCTCCTGAAGCCCATCTACAAAAGAGAGTAATAAAGATGGCCAAGAAAATATGGCAGTAACTATTTCAGTTCATGTTGCTGGTCCTCTCTATTACATTGTCCTTTTTTGTTTAAATTGGACATTCTGACAGCTATAAGATTAGTTCTGGATTCTTCCTAAAAGTATATGTGGAGGCAAAATTCAGATTCCATGGAACTAACAATACCCCAAAGGAAAAGATCAAAGATACAAAAGAGAGTAAAGCCCACCACATTCTCAAGTTAGGGGTATAGAACCCCCCCCCCCCCAAAAGGGAAAATATATGATTTTTAAAAAATGCATTTTAAAAAACTGAGAGAACACCTTTTTAGGTCCTCCACCATGATTCTGTTTTGCCAGATCTTGACTATAGAGATATCATGATTTATTTTTTTTAATCAAATCTGTGAACAATCAATTTTGCAAAAGTTAAACCTGCAAATGTGGAGGAAGCGCTTTACATAACAAGAATAAGCATTTAAAAGCCCCTGTAATAACAATAAAGCTTTTCCTTAGGTCCAAAACTGGGATCCCGGTGGCACAACAGGTTAAACTGTTGAGCTGCTGAACTTGCTGACCTGAAGGTTGGCAGTCCAAATCCATGGGACAGGGTGAGCTCCCGCTGTTAACTCCAGCTCCTGCCAACCTAGCAGTTTGAAAACATGCAAATGTGAGTTGATCAATAAGTACCACCTCAGCGGGAAGGTAAAATAGCGCTCCATGCAGTCATGTCTTAGGAGGCGTCTACAGACAATGCAGGCTCTTTGGCTTGGAAATGGAGATAAGCATCTCCCCCAGAGCTGGAGATGAAAGGGGAAGCCTTTGCCTTTGTCTTTGTATTCATGTTTCATTGTATTTCAAGGCATTGAATGTTTGTCCATGTATATATATATCCTGGAATCAGCTCTGAGTCCCCTCGGGGAGATAGGGTGTAATACAAACACGTTGTTGTTGTTTTATTGTTGTTGTTGCTCAATTGTATGTGTCAATAGCCCTAACAAGGATATCCAATGGCAAAGAATGCTGGAAGTCATAAATGGTGCTCATTTGGTTCTCTCTGGGTTTATCCCACATGTATGAAGGTTAGTTTTAGACTTACCTTCCTTCTCTGTCACCGGGGTGCACCAAAAGTTCAGGAGACAGTGCCATCAAAAATGAAACATCCCACTTGCAGGTTTTTTCATAACAAAATGTATTTGACCCATTTCCATCTGTGTTAATCCAAATGTTCTTCATTGGAATTGGCACAGACTTAACATAGACTGAATCTATACTGTCATATACTGCAATTTCAAACCGCTTTATATTATCATGATATAATGCAGTTCCATGCAGTGAAACTGCATTATACGAGTCTGCATTGACCAGTGTAGATGGTGTCCCACTGTCTTTGCTTGAAGAACACTGAATCAATACACACAATCCTCAAGTCCTGTGGCATGGAAACACTGCTATAATGCCTTCCTAATGCCTACCCAATAATAAAGGGGAAGTTGCATCTTTTTTTCACTGCACTGTGGACCATGTTTTCAGACTTGGTTTAGAGATGAAACTCAGGATCACAGAGATTTATTCCCAACAGTTCCACTGCATGGAACATATATGACAGTTACAAAATTAAAAGTAACTCTATATCAGTTGCAGTCAACTATTTTTACAAACTCTTCCTTCATTTGACATACACGCCATGGGTTGGTTAGTTTACTGCTTTCCCTCACCCTGCTTTTAACACTTCCAGCCATGTGCTTGTCCACACAAGCTCTTTGGCTTCATTTTGGAAGTATCAGGTTTCTCCTCTGCAAATTAAGAAGCTAATTTTAGATGTTGGGCCCTTGACTGTGACAGAATTACTTCTTTGATACAGTAATGAGCTTGTTACATTATCCCAGGAGAGTCTTCTGCATTTGGATAAGGTTCCTTAATTTTTCACCTTCAGGTAATTCTGCTTCAGCCAAATTCTTGCTAGCATGATAGAAGGGCTCCTATTTAAAGATTAGCGACAAATCCGATTAGTATACTCTGGAGTGATGTTTACACAGAAATTAAACAAGAAAACACAATGGACCAAATCGAACTAAAGTTAAGTCATGCTTGAGCCTATTGAAAGCAATAGGACCTCCTCCCGCACAAACTCATAAATTTGGGATAGTAGATGACTAGTTGCTGCTTTCTTATTCTCCTCTATAGTTTTGTTTTGTAATTGTAATGATGTTAAGACAATTTTGGAGATCTTTATGTATGGAAATGTGGGGTATAAATAGTTTTATTGTATAAATCCCCCTTCCTGTTCTCTGTGTTAGGTGGACCACATCTGTTTATTTCAGTATGTATTTATTTATTATTTACAGTATATTCTGCTTTCCCCCATAGATTAGGACTCAAAGTAGCTTACACTTAAAAAAACCAATAAAATTAAAAGTGTACAAAAAGTACAGGGGAATTCCAGACAAGAATCAATCACATCTAGCTAACACTTCCCAACAAAGGATTCCCTGGGCAGCAACCAGTCAGGCTTTGAAGCTACAAGACCATTAAATGCTAATCAAGGTGGCCAATTGCAACATTCACACTTGCCTCAAGCAGACAAGAATTCTTCCTCCACAAATATATAAAACCCACTTGCCTAGTTTCCAACAGACCTCACAACCTCTGAGGATGCCTGCCATAGATGTGGGCAAAATGTCAGGAGAGAATGCTTCTGGAACATGACTGTACAGCCTGGAAAACTCATAACTCAGTGATTCTGGCCATGAAAGCTTTCAACAGCACATTGTACAGAATGAATTTTAAAAGTATTAAAACAGTTACACTAATTACAATATTAAAGCAGTATTTTCCTGAGTCAAAGGTATTTAAAAATAAAATTAAAAAAAGAAAAAGCTCTTTAAAAAACTTAATCCAATGGACATTCTTCTAATTTGTATTTAACACATTCCGTTCTGCTACCCTATACATCTTATATATCTCCTTTATCCGACAGCTAGTGCTTGTAATAAATAATGATGGAAGAAAATAATACACATTATCATTTTAAGGGTATGCAAGCTTTGCTACTTTCCGTATTCTTTCCTTTATTTAAAACTTTTATATCCCGATCTTCTCACCTCTGTAGAGGGACTCAGACTGGCTAGCTTTATTATTTTCCTTGAAAAACTGAATGATTTTCCAAACAGTGAGATTATGGAATCTCATTGAAATGAAGGTCAATGTGTTAATTTAGGATCTCCTTTTCTTTGGCAGATGTGAGATACCTTTCCCCCATGATCTGTGCCATCTTCATTGTTATGATTCCTTTGTGGATTGCAATTGCCAGGCAAAGTCCACCCATCGCCGAAGTCTTAAAGTCTGGATGGCAACCAGTCATTGTTGCAATGGCCATCAGCAGGTAAACATCCTTTGACAGGGAAGAAGTGTATTGGGCAGCCTGGAACTTGATATACTGAGTTCACTTCCTGTCTCTGATACGTGCTCATGAAAAAATGTGCCTCCTTTTCAAGATCATTACTAGAGATGGTTTCCTGCTGTGTTTGGGGTTTGAGTGTGGTATGTTATAATAACAAAATCAATTCCATATAGTTATAACAACATTTTGGGGGGAATTGTTTGGTAGTCAAAACAACACAATCCACACTCAAAAGGGAAATATCAGTAAGTTTGGAAAACAAAAATGTCTGCTAAAAAGTGGGGAATTAACAGGGATTTGTTGTTAATTCTAATTTATGACCCTCCCGCAGTTAACTTGGTGAGGCTTTTCATTGCTTTCTTCTTGAGCTGAGAAAATGTGATTTATCTTGAGTCACCCAATGGTTTTTCCCATGGCGGAATGGAGATTTGGATCCTAGTTTCTTCAAATCCTAATCCAGCACTCAAACTAGTTCATCACACTGCCTCTCAGTGGAATACAGTGTCCTAAATAAAGAGAATGAATCCTGGAGCAGTCCACACTTTAATATAATATGCAGGTCCCAATGATCTGCTCTAAACATATGCATCAGGCCTGCATGACATATTGCCCTGGGGTATGAGGTTTATTCATGGAGGATGTAATCTTGAGCTCCAGATTATGTTAAAATGTAACATTAGATTGGCCATTTTAGAAGGAGAAGGAGGGAACAAAGAAGAAGGGCCTTGGTTTTTGCCTCTGCGACTCTTCCCTTCTCTTTGCCTCTGTCATCACCTTCTCATTTGATGGCGAAACCACCAACTCCGCACCATTCACTTGTGAGGGAAAAGCTTGGCTACATGCTCTTCCTTTCTCCTTGCCTGTGACACCTCCTCCACCTTCAGTAGAAAAAACCCACCAAATCTGCACCATTCATTTCCCTCACTTGTGAAGGAAACATGTAGCTTTATCATGAAGTTGTTATGGGGTCTTCAAAGAGAAGCTAAGTTTCTAACAAATGAGGGGAATGAGCTGAGGTCCTTCTTCTTTCTCTCCAAAAAGGACTGCAACTTGCCACCACACTCAAGTGGGAAAAACGAGGCTAATTCACTTTGCTGCTTGCTCTGAGAGAAAGACATCCTCTCGCAAACCCTGAGTGAGGCACTTATTTGTGGCCCAAAGAGGTGTTGCTTACTTAATTTTAGTCCCTTACTACTGTCAAATTGTGCAGACCTGATATACATGGACCTAGGAGACTGATTTACCCTTGGGCACATCATTGTCTGCAATATGAAGTAATTCTGAGCTCTACATATGAATGAGTGGTCACAAAATGAATCCCCTCAGATAGAGCTTTCTCACCCCTATCAGCACTATTATTTTAATGGATTCTGCCATTATTGATATTATTCTGTTGGATTTTGCATTATATCCTTTGACTGTATTTACTACAACTTTCTTCATTATTTGTGCCACCCCATTTCTTCATAGATTTTCATTTCCTCAGTAAAACATGAGGTACCCTTTATAGTCATGTATACATCTGGTATTTTAATCAAAAATCCATGAGTTAATAAAAGTATTTTAACTCTTATCATCATACATGAGCATATACAGTAATTCTTTCATCTTAAATGCCCCATTCCTGTCCACTTTAGCTTGCCCATCCCAAGTATTGTAGTTATTGAGCTATTGCAATGTTTATACGTTAGATATTTTTTTTGTTTAACTACTTCTAGCTTCCCCTCATTTATCTTTCTCACATTCCATATTCCTGTCATTTGTGTTATATGCAACTTTGGACTTTCCTTTCACCTCTGAGCACACCAATGGTGGAATGGCCTTTTGGCTTGAGACTAATTGCATCATTAGCCACAGTGTGGCTCATGCCTTCCACTGCATAGCATTCACAAATATTAGCTATTTGCCAATGTCATTTTCTATATATATAGTGCTTAGGTAGCGAAGACTAATGGATAGAGACTATATTCATATGTGTTTCTTTTAACAGCCTTGGAGGGCTTATCTTGGACAAAACAATAACGGACCCAAACTTTCAAGGCATGGCTGTTTTCACTCCTGTGATCAACGGTAAGGGGGGATGTGGAAGTAGGAGTATAGTCTTACATGGTCATACTAATAAAAGGATATTATATTGATTGTAAATTAATGGAGGCTGCAAATAAAATGTATTATCTTTCTCATGATTATAAGACTAAGGATCTCAGTTTTTTCAGTTCAAGGGCAAAATAAGTCCTGATTTTCATATAAAGCAGAAACATCGTGGTGGAAATTGTGCAGTTTTCCACGTGTTGTCCAACTACCAATTGGTTGTATTTCCTAGCAGGTGTAGTAAATTTAGCCAGTGATTAAACATACTGGAAGTTGCAGTTCAGCAATATTTAGAGGGCCTTGCAACTCCCCCCCCCCCCCACACACACACACGCACAGCATGCTATAGTGTGTAATTTAATATTATAAAAATCTGTAAAATTTAAGTATTCACTCACTAGAATCATGTTCAGTTTCATGATTACATTCATCTTAATTTGGGAGGGGCTGTATCTCAGTGAATTAGATCAGTGCTATATATGAAACTCCAGGCAGGGCTGGAAAAGTCTCTCCTGTGTCTAAACCCATAAGATCCACAGCTGATGAGCAAAAAGTATACCTAACTGTAGAGATTCTCGGAATAATAACGCAAGATATCACTGGAGTATGAAGTTTGCAGTTTTTCAGTTATTCTGAACGGTACAAAAAGAGTTTGAGGTTAAATACAATGATTTGACACAAACATGAAATTCTCTCTGTATAAAGCAATATAAAACTATTTTAGAAAAGGAGTATCTATAATAATAAGATAATACGTGGCAGTGTTTCTGTCACCACCACAGCTCCAAAACCATTAAACGGGTTATGTGAAACTTGGTGTAAATACCAAGATGGGGGGAATTGGATTCAATTTTTATGAATTAATTAGTTTTAACTAATTAAAATCCGTCTCTAGCCTTCAATATCATCTTCAGTTACTAGATAGCAGGCTTCTGTAAGTACAAAGCTGCAAACAGCCTAATTCATTTCTCCAAACAGCCCCTACACAGCTCCATGCAGTGCTTCCTCCTCCAAATAATTCAAATCATTAAATCAGAATTAGAGGAAGAAAGAACAAGACTTGCCTGAAACCTTTGAAACTGTTGAAAGAGGAAAGAGTAAAAGAGAGAGAGACAGAGGGGAGGTGCTGACAGGTAAGGCATGGTGGAGGTGGGAAATAGGGCAGAACATGGCCTTCTCTGTGGTGGCCCCTTCCTCCTGACCTTTCGAAAAAGAGTGAAATCCTGGCTCTTTGAGCAAGCATTTGGAACCACAGCATGACCAAAAAACTCAAATCGGAGAATGAACTAGGAACAGCTAAGACAATGGACTGGTTGAGGAATTTAACAAGAAGACATAGTTTTTAAATAATTTTTATAATTTATTGTTTTTATGGTTTTAAGTGCATTGTGATGTTTTTTGCTTTTTATTGATGTATGTCTTTTATATATGGCATCTAATTGTTGCCGACTTGTACGCCGCCCTGAGTCGCCTTCGGGCTGATATGGGCAGGATACAAATATTGTAAATAAATAAATAAATTGAATACAGGATGGTATGGAGAGAAAGAAAGATCAGTAAGAAATTTAAAAAAGACAAGGGATGGAAAAACAGAAAAGAAGGAACAGAGGAAAAATTAAAGAACACTTGGTTGAGGGATGGAGACATTCCGGGGGTTGAGAAGGACGGGGTAGAAATACTGGAAATAAATAAATAAATAAATAAATAAATAAATAAATAAATAAATAAAGGATTTGTAACCCTTATGAATTTTTCTAGTATGAGAGTAAAGCCAGATCTTATCTGAGCTCAGCATTTACATTAAAAGGATATTATCACGATTTTATACAAAACCCTGCTTCCTCCTCTATTCCCAACTCCTATGCATATTCACAAGTAAACCCACAGTCTCAGCATAAGTGCTTCTGACAAGGAATGTGAGATTCCATACATATCTCAGACAATACTGGGATGGTGCTATAGAGCAAACCTGTTTGCTGGGTGAGACAAGCAGCTTTTCCACTTAGCCAAAATGAATCCTTTGGAAAGAAGAATATTGCCATATAATTTTGTCAAACTGAGATGGAACTGATTCACTCTCTCGTAAGTTACTGTCTGATAGCTCTGGAAGAACAATGTGTTTGTGCTCTGTTGTGCTTTATCTTTAATAATTGGTTTAAAATGAAGAGTCTTCAGGCTCTGTAAATTTCTGAGAAGTGGAACTGAAAGCAGCTGTTGGATCTGCTCTGAAAAAGCTGTGCCAGATACTTTCTGGAGGAGATACCTATCATTGCCAAAGATTATGACAGCCACTTCATGACAGAAGTGTAAGAGCACATAATACTGATGTTGAGTACCAAAAGGGGAATACTCAGTGGAGCCCTTTTTATTCCATTGTGTTTTTAGTATTTCCATAGGTGTGCATGAGAGAGAGCTAGGGGGCACTCTGATATGTGTTCAGTGCCAAAGTGGTGTAAATCAGCCACATTCCCATTACTTCCTATAATTTATTTATTTATTTTATTTCACAGTTTTCTATACCGAGCTTCTCAACCTCGTTGAGGGACTCAGCCCGGTTTCCAGCCATAAAAAACATATACACTCATTAAAATATCATATATCACAATTACAAAAACAACTTTAAAAACACTATATATAAAACTACAGTGGTCAGTCGTCCTATAAGAACTCACAGGAAAGGAGTGTGTGCCCTTGAAGACCACACCAAAGATTTGGTTAGTGCAGAGTGCTGATGTAAATTTCTTGACTGTTACCACAATCAAGTGCCCCCTTTACCTCATCATTATCTATCCTAGGGAGAACCAAACCAGTGTGTCTCAAGAAGAGAACCAAACCAGAACCAAACCAGTGTATCTGTCCATGGACAGATACTAATTCACAGTCTGTTGACTTCTAGTTCACTGCAAGTTTCTGGAAGGGAAAGAACATGGAAAATTTGAGAGGGGGTGTTCACATTAGATAGCTTAAGAAGTACTTCCCTCCCCAAATCTACAATTGTTACTGCAGTTTAATAGCTGGGCTCTGCATTTTTGCCTTGCAGGCGTTGGTGGCAATCTGGTAGCTATCCAGGCCAGTCGTATCTCCACATTTCTGCACTTCTGGAGCATGCCTGGAGTCCTGCCCCACAAGATGAGGCAGCACTGGCCCAACCCATGTACTACCTTCTTCACTTCAGGTAAGGACAACTGGTTTTAGTCACCAGCTCACAGTTATTCCCACATCTATACACCAGAACCTCTCAGAACCTCTTGTGAACCATCTCATCACATCTCATGATGCTATGAACCATTGCAAAGTCATAAGATCAGTGGGAGAGGTCCTGCTCTCAGTCCCACCATCCTCACAAATGTGACTGGTGGAGACGAGAGATGGGGCCTTCTCAGTGGTGGCCCCTTGCCTGTGGAACTGTCTACCCAGTGACATTAGATTGGCCCCCTCCCTCTTACCCTTTAGAATGAAACTCAAAACCAGGCTATGGGACCAAGCGTTCGAACAGTAGAGGCAGCAATTTAGAATGAGACCCAATTTGTGTGAATGACAATGGACTGACCTGGACTATGATTTCAAACCTGTGTATTTTAAACAATGTTTTAGTAATTTTAAAGGGTTAACAAATTGTTTTATTTGCCTTTATCATTTATTACTGTTGTTGGCATTGAATGGATGCTTGTTGTGAAGCCGCCCTGAGTCCCCCTCCGGGGGTGAAAAGGGCGGGATACAAATATGCGAAATAAAATAAATAAATTTGTCATCCTAGTCATTTTGTATGGACATCGGACACTGCATTCTTCCACAATCTTTGAGGTGAAGAGTACTGACAAAGAAGAAGGTCAAGAAGAAGTGACAAACAAGACATAATGTTATATATCTATTTTGTCTTATGTGACAAATATAGGTTGGGGACATATTTCCACAGAAAAAGTATACTGGGGAGGAAATTAACTTTCTGCTCTAATGGTACCATAGTTTTTCTAAGATTCTGTGACTTCAGCCAATGCAAAATTTCTAAAATACAACACTGGCAGATCCAGTCACAGAATCGAGGGAAATTCTAGAGGTTTTTTTTAATCTTTTCATTTGAGGCAAGGAACTACAGTTTGGACTGGTAAGAATTATTTCCCTCCTCTGTGAGGCCAGAGTTATACATAGTCTCTTTATGTCTCTGATAGATGAATCCAGTTTGTTGACATACCAGCCAAAAAACTATGAAGTGAAAAGTGATTTTCATTGCAGAAATGGCAGGCAAAATAAAGGAACCATGTTAGTAATCCCTTTGCATTGGACAGATTTTTCCCATTCAAGTTTCCTGCTCTAGTTGTTGTTGTTTTGCACCCTAAGGTTCTGGGTGTGCATTTATTATTGAGGGTGAGGGGGTGAGATTAGTTGGTGAGAAAGTAGCAGGAGAAACTGAATTAATTTTAGTTTGACACCCTGTTCTTCAATCCAAGCTGGCAAATGAAAACAAAACTAATAACATTCATTTTCTCATACTCGCTCTCTTTCTTCTTTCTTCATTCAGGAGACTTTAAATGGATTTGCAAAATTAAAAAGTTAAGATCTTCACTTAGCAAAGAAAAGCCACATGAGAAAGAGCAGACAAATACTAAGTGAAGATCTTTACTGTTTTAACTTGGCAAATCCATTTGACCTCTCGTGATGCTGGCTTTACCTGCAAATTGACCTTCTGTTTAATTATTGTGATGCATTATTATTAACACTTTTTCTCTCTCAAATTACATCTTTTTTTTTACAGGATACAAATCTTTTAAATTAAATTATAAATATTAACAGCAAACTCAATCCCCTGCATTCTGCCCCTCACATAGCCAAACAAGCATGTTCATGCCCCAGAAAGAGGTACTAGATAGCCTAGAGAAAGCCATTTCTTCCTCAACTGTCACTCATCCACTGCTCCACCCATCCCTTTTGCTGTCAATCATGCTTCCATTCTTTTCTCTGCAGTTTTCTTATTCTGTATGCAATGATGAATCCTTTTGGTGCTTTTCACTCTTTTAGTTGACAGAGACCTTGCTGCTCAGATCATCAAACACATAATCACTGTCAAAAGAGAACACGGTATTTGAAGATGACTTGTGTCTTATTCCATCCAGTATAACTGCTTTTCCTTCTCCGCAGGAGTAAATTCAAAGTCTGCACGGGTCCTGCTCCTGCTGGTGATCCCAGGGCATCTGGTGTTTCTCTACACCATCCATGTCTTTCAGGCAGGCCACACGACACTCACCGTCACTTTTGTGGTATTTTACCTGATGGCTGCTGTCTTGCAGGTAATCACAAGTTGACTTGAAGCATAAGAATGGGCCCTGCAGTGCATACACTGCAACTGTCTATCAGTCACCACTCCCTTATTTCTGCTTGCAGGTGGGGATTCTGCTGTACTTGGCTGACCTTCTTGTGCGGCTGATGTGGAGAAAGAGCTTGGATCCAGACAACTTTTCGATCCCTTACCTCACTGCTCTGGGAGATCTCCTGGGCACTGGGTTCCTGGCACTTTGCTTCCGCTCTGTTTGGCTGCTCAATGAATTGAAGCCAAAATTGGGAGACTAAAGGAGACTTCTGCTACAAGGTTGACCTGCCTGCTACTCTGCAAGCAAAACAATCACTATGGTGCTTTTGACACGGTCCAACAGGGTACTGAAAATAGGACACCCAGGTCCTTAAACTGGAGTGGATTGGATACCCTTGCCCCATTGATCTCAATTCAATATATCTGTGAAGTCTGGAAGATATCTGCCAATGAAGTAGCACGGACTGCAGTGCTTGAAAAGACACACTTTGCTCCAGCCTGCATTTCAACTGGTTAAGAGGTGTTATTTCAATGGCCGGGTTGGAAAAGCCCCCTGACATGAATGGGAGGCTATCCACTGATCTCAGTGGGGTTTAAATTGTATCCTAGATGAGGATGTTGCACTGTCTCTGCCGGGCATCAGCTGGCAGTCAGAGAGGGCATTTTACTGTCTGCTTTTCTTCCTTATGCTCTCACAGAGAAAGAGGGAGAGAGTCCGGGGTTCTTCACATTGTGCACCCAACACCAAGGAAACCAGACCCTGCACTACAGTAGCTCAGACTCTGCTTGACAATACTTCATGCATAGTCATAACAACACACACAGCAATCAGTGTACTGTACTTTGCATTAGATTTCTCTGTGTGATTTTCTTTAATTCTTGGGGGCTTGTTTGTGGTTGTTTTTACTTGCAGAATTTTGATATTGTTAAGATTGTGACACTGAGAGCCAAGTATAAGTTAGAAAAGATCAGGAGGATATAATTGGAAGCAAAGGTGAGATAGTCAATGGCCAAAACTGAATATTGGAGCCTTTTGCTATTGTCTGTTTTTCAAGCATTTTACATCTGCATGCCATTTTATCCAGAGCAACTTCTTACAGAAACAAGTACCTCATTCTGGTCTTTAGGCATATCTGTCTGGTCCAAATTAGAAGCTGAGAACCACACCCACCTCCATTCTCAGAAAGAAGCTTTCTGTTTGCACTGGATATCCATTAATTGTTTTGAGTAAGTAAAATACAAATGTTCTGTGTTCAAATGACAGTGAAGATGGAAGTGCCAGACTTTTAGGGTGAAGGCAACTGAACTTCTTGTCATTCTCATTCTGGTAAAAACCACTTGCAGAACACGGACATCTTTGTGCATAAATACTAGTACAGAATACATGCTTCATGGAGAGAATTCTATGCATTATATTCTGAAGGCCCTCCTACAGGTAGAAATGGGTTTTCCTTATGGACTATTCTAGGTGGATTTCACTGTCTATAGAACAAGCCTTTTTTTTTTAACTTTCAGCTCTTTAGGAATTCTATACCAGGGAAGAACTGTTCACGGTTGTCTTGAATCATTGAAAATCAGATGAGTTTTCTTCTGGACACAGAGCTGAAAGCCCCATTCTGGCCAAAAGCAGGAAGACAGAAGGGTCAGAATTTGCTACACCCTCAAGCGGCAAGTTTGATCAAAACTGTGTTCTCTCCCCCTCATTTTTGTTATACAGTTTCAAATCTGAGGGCTTTTTATGGACACATATGAAATAAAATGCAAAAATTGTTAGTGCTTTCACTGTTTTATTTTGTAATCCTGACCAAGATTTGGGAGGCAGTAGCCCAGAGCTGACAGCCAAGAATCATATATTGTTGGGTAGGACTGAAATATCAACCACACAATATCCTTCCAGATGGGACATAAAATTGGAATAAGCCCTGAAACTGAGCAGGAAGGCAAACAGATAACAAACAATAACTCTGTCCAAAGGACCTATCAAGTCTCTGGTTTCAGTCCAAGCTACTCACAGCATTGCTCAAGATAACAACGTTTATTCCAAGCATCAGTATTTTATAGAACTTCAGAGTTATGCAGATGACAAGCTGCACAGGACCAATGCCTAATACATATGTGGTAATTCTTATCTGAGGTCTTGTGAGCAGCCCAGAATGCATCTAGAGATTGATTGGTGTCTAAAAGGATGTTCTCAGTGTCTGGCACTGGATGAAACCATAACTTCTGGTTGTTAACCATGGGCATATAGTGGTGTAGTTACTGCATTTACAACATAATACAGATGACCAAGTTCAGCAATGATACAGGCCATGGGGATATGCCAGCTATTGTCAAAATGAAGTTGAGCAGATTCACTCAAACAGATCAACATACAGCTAAATCTTTAATTTCTATTTTATGGCAACAATATGAACATCAATGAGAAGGGGAAAATGTTGCTATGACTGGCAGCATTCCCCTTTGTTGAACCACGATGGGTAATCATCCTCTATAGCAGGCATGGGCACACTTTGGCCCTCCAGGTATTTTGGACTTCAACTCCTAAAATTCCTAACAGCCAGTAAGCTGGCTGGGATTTATGGAAGTTGAAGTCCAAAACACCTGGAGGACCGAAGTCTGTCCATGCGTGCTCTATAGTAATTTACTTCATCAATTCACATGTCCCCCAAATGTTTGGTTTGCCAGCACACCCTCTCCATGCCATTTAAGCCCTACTGTGGTTTTAACAGAGCTAAGTATTGCTGCTGTGGCAACTGCCACAGTGTCTGCTTTCAATTACATCTGTCCTAGTTTGTCATTTATTTTTCACAAGGGCTTAAAACAGTCCCTTCTTCTGGAATATTAACAAAATAACTGTCTCCGTTTTGGTACAGAAACAAAAAAGAGAGTTTTCTTCTTGTCCAAACCTGCTACAGAGTTTGTTTCCATCTTGGGCACAGTCCAAGGTGAGCATCTGTCCAAGATTCAGCTGTAATTTTTGGCAATTCCTATTCATTCAAATGAGCCTCGGGCAGAGAAGGCTCCTTGGTGTCAAATATTCTATGGAATGCTTCCCTGCCTGAGAATCAACCCAGATCTTCTCTAGACCTGGCTTGGGCATTGGCTTTCAGCTGGAGGCTCATGCTGTGGAAAGGATCCTTGAAACCATTTCTCCCATATGGGTTAGCAATTCATCTCATGCCCTGTCCCAATAATAAAAAGGTAGACTACATTTTTGAGATTGGTCTATTGGTGAACCAAACACACTTAAGAGAAATGAGTCCCCTGTTAGTAGAAAAACATCATTTGGGACTAGCAAAATTCCAGATAATTACATCGTTCCACATGTCTTAGGCAAAGTGAGGAATCTATCCCATGTGACACAACCTGGGGAGCAGCAATGTGAGTTCCCCAACCATTTTCCCTGGGTGTTTTCCTTCTGCAAGAAGAAAAAAAACTGTGTGTGCCTGTCTTGCCTCTGTCTCAACTCTCATGCTGCTCAGAGGATCAATGTTGATATCAAGACAGTCAGGACAGCATTTGATTCAGTCGGTGGTGGAAAACAGCCAGAGATCCTCTGTATCAACTCCAGTTGTAATAAATGGTTCTCTGGGGTCTGGTTCTGAAACATACTCACCCTTTCATGCTTGGGCTCTGGAGATTTGAGAATGGGAGAATCGCACCATGCCCTGATTTACTTTCTTCCTGGCAGCCAATCCTAGGGAAAACTGAAGATTGCTGATCTAACAAGGAAAGAGCTTGGCAGGTCTTATTACTGTTTTCAAGCTGAGCATTTTGAACTCCAGAATTGATCATTGGTTGACTGTTATTATTGATTCTGACCAATAAACAGATATGAAGTGGTATTTTTAGTTGGGATTCTTGGGGAAACCATGGCAATTCGGGACTAAGATGTCCTACTCATGAAAGGGATGGGAAGCATCACAAAGACCCAAGGCTTACACTGTGAAAAAAATAGAATATGGCAAAAATCATAATGCTAAAATTGTGTGTGTGTGTGTGTGTGTGTGTGTGTGTGTGTGTGTATGCAGCATTAGTCTGGGGCATTTGGGGGCATTTCTGATCAGAACACAGCTACTGCTACCAGGTGCATCTGCTGGGCCCCACTCAAGGGCATCCCTGAACCTGGAGTGGAACCTGTATAGGTGAGAGGATCTGGACCATTTCTATCTTACTCAACTGTGTCATAGCTCATTTCCCTTTTGGTGCTGGGGTGACATGAGAAAAGTGTCCCTAGTAATGTGGAATATTCTAATTAGGAGAAGCTGAGGAGAGAATGATTCAGTTGGCATGATACAAGGCAATGATTCATTGGCATGGCTTCATAAATGCTAAAATTAGACCCACACAAGGAAACCTCTGAACGAATTGCCTTAGGGTCACCATGAGTCAGAAACATCTTGAAGACAAACAACAATGGGGTTCATCCAGCATGGCCAGTGGTAAGGGATAGCCCTCCATGTGTTTTGGGCTTCAATTCCCAAAATACTCCAATAACATGGCCAGGGATAAGGGATTATGAGAATAGTTATGAAAAACATCTGGATGAATTAATGCTCTCCATCCCTACTGGGATAGATACATGAACAACTTGGGCAGTTGCCCTCTTCACATATACCTTGATCTTTCATTCCAGTAGAGTTACTTTTTTCTTCCTCTACTGCCAGGGCTCCTCGGGACTCAACTGTTGTTTTGCTTCTTAATGCAGAAAGCATGGTGGGTCTCATTCTTCTGTTTGCCAATATTCCAAGTGACAGTTTTGCAGTTTGAGGAAGAGAGAGGACATTTAACCATGCCATGGAAGCAACCAAGACATCACACATTCTGATATTCTGCAACATGGTGCATTCTTCATCATGAAGAATGGTCTTGAAGGTCATTAGACAGTGTGGGGATCCCATGGCCCCAGATATTATTGAATTACAACTTCCAATAATTCACATCATAGGCTAGGCTCACTAGTTTCTTGGAGTTGAAGTCCAACATCAACTGGTGAGCTGCATTATTCCCATCCCTGCCCAGGGAGTAGCTCGTCGCCATTAGGTCTAACACAAATTGCAGCTTTTCTTTGCTTAATTGGCTATATTTTATAGCTGTAAAAACTAAATCCTGAAGCTGCTTATCTGCTCTGGCGTGGTGACCGCCGCCTCGCAGCCGCCGGGCTGCAGAAACTGAAACCGAAGGAAACCGAGCAGAAACCGACGAGCTGCGGGGACTTTCTATCGGCCTCTGTGTCTCCTGTGGCCCGGGCGGAGTCTTTTCCTGCGGCCTTTTTTCCACGCCACCAGCGGACGCTGCTTGCTCCCTCGCCTTGGGGGCGGTTTGGGGCCCTCCATCGGCTTTTGTGCCTCCGTGGCCCGGCACAGCCGGGCGGAGTCTTTCTCTGCGGCCTTTCCACACTGCCGGCGGACGCTGTTTGCTTCCTCGCCCTGGGAGCGGTCTGGGGCCCTCCATCGGCCTTTGTGTCTCCTGTTGGCCTGGCACAGCCGGGCGGGGTCTTTCTTTGCGGCCTTCCACTCTGCCGGCGGACGCTGCCTTGCTCCCTCGCCCTGGGAGCGGCTTGGCTTCTCCGTGTCCCTGGGGCCTATTGACGGCTCCGTGTCTTTGGCTGCACCCCAACTGCCTCTGCGTTTCCATCGTTGGGGAGGCCTCGGCTTGGCTCCGGCGGGCGTCGGAGGACGCTTTACGGCCTGCAGCTCCGGCGCCTCGGCGCCCCTAGGGTCCTTCAGGATCAGGAGAGGCCTTGCTGCCTTCCTGTGGTGCTTGTTGCTGGCGCTGGGGCTGGCTACAGTGGGACGCCCGCAGCCGGCTGCATTGACTCCAGCACGAGCCGGCTCTGTGCTGACTGAATTGTGTTACCACCATTGTGTTACCATCATCAGACTGAGTGCCTGCGTTGACCGAGCGTGTACCATCTCGCCGTGTATTCCACCAAACCCGGAAGACTGAGTGGGCCATCCTTGCTGGTTAACTATTTCATCTTTCAGCATCTCATTGTTTAAAATCTTGTAAGATATTAGCATTTATACGTCTAGCACCTTAACTTACTATATCATTGGACTATTATTTCACGAGTTTTAGCACCTTAGTCTTTTTTAACTGTATCATTCAGCTCTGAGTGTGCTAATTACTCTGACGGTGCTAATTCACCCCCGTTCTGATTGATTATTATTGCAATCTATGTGTGACCATCTTAAACGTGCTGACTGTTCCTGATGGTTGCTAATTAATTAATCTTGATTCCATGATCAATTGGTCGCTTCGTGCACTTTATTAACTGCTGTGATCTTGCACTTTATGCCATTAGCACTTCAAACTATTTTTTGTGTACTTAGTCACTATAGCACTTTAAATTCGTTTGTTACAGCTAGTGCTGAATCAGGCCTCCATGACGCACTTTAATTAATTATCTAGGGTCATTTAGCCTTCGCATTTTATTGCTGCTCTACTGTGTTGCTGCTCTATTGTGTTGCTCTGTTGTGTTGCTGCTTTTCATTGCTACTTTATTGTGTTGTGCTAAAACATCATCTGTATCTCGACAGCACAATTCCTTGTTTCCAACTGTGCTTAATAGCTACAACCTATGTTATCACCTACTTCTTGGCACCTGTTAATCTGGTTGCTAATTGTATATGTAGGTAAGAAGGAATGGAATAGCACGAGGGATCTCGAATATGACCTAACGGGACTGAAGAATGCGTGGAGGGCAAAGCTATGGCAAACTGAGACTGTAACATGGCATGTACACCGCAATGATCCCTGGTTTATTAGTA